GTACTTCACTCTGTGTACTATGCTCTCTATGCTGACTCTGTGTACATGATCCTATGTAGTTAATGTAGTTCTCTAAATGTACTTCACTCTGATGTACTTCAATCTGTGTACTATGCTCTGTATATGCTGACTCTGTGTACTAGATCCTATGTAGTTCTCTAAAGGGCTTCGCACGGAAGAACCCTTCGTGATGCTTTCGGGAAAACTGGGCTCTAGGGTTTAAGGTTTCAGGTTTAGGGCTTAAGGTTTACGGCTACTAGTGGCTTCTGCTCCGGACGGAAAGGTGACATCACGCCTATCTGCCAGGGCGGCTGGCATCTGGAAAGCCGGCAGCGCGTCACAGGCATGACATTTGCAGAGGTTGGGGTTTGGGGTCTAGAAAAAGTGTCTGCTGCGGGTCGCGGGTTTATAGCATTCAGGCAAGTGATGCTTTTCAAAGTGTCGAATGACACTTCTGAGGCTTAAAGTTGAACCGTCGCCCTTACAAAGAACTATGAACCTACAACTACGAATGGCCAGACTCAGTGCCGCTTCCATATCTCTTGCAAGTTCCACAATTCAAGAACTCGATACACGGACGGAAATGCATAAGCTTCTAGCGCGTTTGCGTCCTAATCGCGGGCTCAGCATCAGCATCGTTTGACGGAGAGGGCGCCGTTCCAAAACCCAAGGCAAACCGGTGCAAGAAACCTTTCTCACACAGTTTCCACACCCCTGGATGGCTTCCAGTGTAAACTCGCGCAGTTTGTGCTAGGTGCAAGCACACAACGAGTGATGCATCGTGGATTGCAGGACTGTTTTGACAGCTACAGCTCCGATTGTTTTGCAGGGACACGTGCTTTTCCAGCCTGCTGCAAAGCTTGCAATAGTTTGCAAGTTTGGGAAAACCGGATCACGGACGAGACATGACTCGGGCTTCGCGATCCGAGACGGATTAACAAGCAGGTGTCTTGCATATCCTATCCCAGCGAACATAGATTAAGCCCAACGTCTGTTGGGAACCTTACAAAACTGACATTGAAGCTTAGACACGCCTTCGGCGTCGGCCAAGACCTCTCAAATGAAGAACGTGTCGCTCTCGGCAAGGGCCTCGGCGTCTTGCTCGTCTTTGGTAGAGCAGACCTCGATCAGCCACGACGGCGCGAGCATCTGGCGTGCCAGATCGGATGCCGTTTTCTTACGGTAATTTCGGATGTCTACTCGGGCTCGGGCTGACAGCAGAGTGGACACAGAATCCAGAGCACCACTCAGAATGCTGAACATCAGCGGCGTAGCGTCGTAATGATGATATGCCAGCAGAGTCAGTTTGGACGGGCTTACCCGATGCCCGACAGCCATGACATTCGTGAGAAGCCACCATCCGGGCTCCCGAATCTGTACCCGGAACTGTTCATTCACGTTCGCCTGAGCCTCTAGCAGCACCGAAACCAAGTCGGCGGAACCACCTCCAGCCCCTATGAGTGCAATGTGTAGGCAGTGTCGCAAACTCAAAGCTGGATTCAAAGCGAGCATTTCCTTCATTGCAGGCACGCTTCCGCAATAACAGGAGAGCATGAAAGGGCTCACCCCCGGCATGGATTGTTGATTCATGTTGGCACGAGCATGGCAGAGTAGACGTACTCCGCCTGGATTGTCCCCGGCACACGCGGTATGGAGAGCATTGCCACCAAAACCATCCTTGTAGTTCACTTGGGCTCTGGCGCAGAGGAGCAGCTCAACGGCTTCATTGTTGCGAAAGAATGAAGCCACTCCCAGAGGCGTCACTTTGGGAGGGAAACTAGCATCTGCCTTGGGCTTCGTCGTGGCCTGATTGATGGTTATAAGGCTTCCTTTAAGGGGCTCTATAAGGGTACTATAAGGGTTTAGGGGTTTAGGGTTATAGGGTTTAGAGGTTAGGCCTGGTTGATGTCCACCTTTCGGTCCAGAAGCGCCTGCAGCACCACGAG